TCAGATATCCTTTGTGGGAGATGCTGATCCACTCTCTTGCATCCCATTGGGTAATTTCAGAAATAAATTCAAGTGAAAGACTTCAAGGAACATCTTCTTTATACTTTTGGTGTGAGTGTTTTTCTCCTGAGTAACCCAACAGAACTTTGTCAAATATCACAGACTATGAAAGTGCTATTGAAGCTCTGACCAGTTTGGCTCAGTGGATATAGTGTCGGACCGTGGACTGAAAGGTCCCAGGTTGATTCCAGTCGAGGGTATGTACCTTGGTTGCAGGCTTGATCCCCAGTAGGGGGCATGCAGGAGGGAGCTGATCGATGTTTCTCTCTCATCAATGTTTCTAACTCTCTATCCCTCTCCCTTCCTCTCTGTAAAAAATCAATAAAAATATATTTTAAAAAGAAAACAAAAAGAAAGTGCTATTGGAGAAAAGGAGTTACCACTGAAATGCATGATTGCCTGCCACAATGCTTATACTCATTTGGCATCTAATTTCATATCTCATTATACTTTCTAATATCTGTTTGAAGGCATGTGAGTTTTCTCAGTGTGGTCTTCACAAGGCTATGTCTGCAAATAGAAAGTTCTTCAAAGCCCTCCAAGGAAGAGATTTGTGAAGTGGTAAGGGTGCCATGGGAATTCACAGATGACAGGAAAATAGGACCTGATGATTTTCCCTTGTACAGTGATTTTCTGCTTTGTGAAGTCGTGGAGAAATTAGGCCCAGAGCAGAAACCTGTAGGCAAGAGTTAAGGAGGAATTCCTGAGCTGCTATTTCCAGGAAACTGGTAGGTTGTGTGAGGTGGAGGGGGGTGATCAGATTACAGCTTCTGTATTGCTGTGCCTGATAACAGCCTGTTAATATTTTATCAGTGATCACCTCATAGCACGCAGCAAGCCACCACTTCCGGGGAAAAAGAGAGAGATAATTTGCTGGACTTCCTGTTTGAGTCTTCCCCCCCAACCCCCATTAAGATAACAGAATTTCTCATCAAAGTTAGGAGCCGCCTGGGAAGGGAGACCAGGCTGGGTGAAGGCCAGGCTTCAGCCAGCTGAGGAGGAGCACAGGCACTTCCCAGCCTGGGGCCTCTATGTCCCAGTGGGCAGCTGAAGGCATGAAAAAATGACCTGTCCATGGCCCTGGGCTGAATGGGAAGAAACTGTTGACTCTGCAAGGCCTCATTTGCCTTCCTTTACAACTGTGCCCTTTTCCCACACCTGTGTTTCTCCTCTGGTCCAGAGCCAAAAGGTCTCAGGTTACTTGGATGGTCACTATCTCTGCTGCCCCCAGCAATACCATAGACCTTCCCAAGAGAAGGAACTGAGGGAGAAGAGGCTGAGCCCCAGAGTCACTGTCTGCATTAGAGCTGTTTGGGGTTCTTGTGAGGTAAACTCAAAGGTGTTCTGGGTTGCCCTAACCGGTTTGGCTCAGTGGATAGAGCGTTGGGCTGCAGACTCAAGGGTCCCAGGTTCGATTCCAGTCAAGGGCATGTACCTTGGTTGCGGGCACATACCCAGTAGGGAGTGTGCAGGAGGCAGCTGATCGATGTTTCTCTCTCATCGATGTTTCTAACTCTCTATCCCTCTCCCTTCCTCTCTGTAAAAAATCAATAA